TGTTAAGGGTGGTCCACACTTCATTTTTTTTTCACAAAATATTTTGATTTTATTTTATTATGATACATCATACAAAAATATATACAACCCTTTTTCACCCTTCTACCACTAACGCCTATTTTTTATGGAGGTACGAAGTTCGCTGGGTCAGCTAGTTTGTTATATAATGTGTAAAATTAAAATTCATGAATAAAAAAGCATAATTTAACATTAACGTTCCGATTTATTTGTTTGTTGTACAAAAAAAATAAACTTATTCTTTAAACTTCTTAGTCGTCATTTTATTTTTATTTATTATTAACATGTTTTTTTTTAAGAATTCAGTTTACTAACACTAGATTTGTAAGCATCATTGTTATTAACCATTATGGATGTAAAAATCTAAAATAAATGTTATTATTATTATGAAATCAGTCATATATAACCTATCGTGGGAGAGCCACGCAGTAGCTTACTTCGACTACTGCATGAATGGGCCGGCTCGACCGGAGGAATACCACGACCTCACAGAATACCGGCGTGAAGCAGCACTTTGTGCTGTGTTTCGCCGAGTGAGTGAGGCTACCGGAGGCCCAACCGCCCCCCCCCCCCCCCCCCCCTTTCCTCATGATGGCGCAGTTAAATAGGACAATACCCCAGGGGGGTACCAGCTGTTTTCACGCTGGAGAATCCCCCTCTGGACGTCCATGCCCAGAACTGTCTCCTTCTGGACGAGGACGTCAAGGCTGCCCTTCGTATTCTGGGGAGGGCGAAACCGCGCTCATTACTCAAACTGCTCGAGGCCACAGCAAGCGTCATATGACACCCCCTGCCATGTTTAACGTGGATTTCTGCAACATCAAGGGCTTACACTCCAACCTTAATGCTGTTCAGTACCACCTTCAGACAGTGCAGCCGGCCTTGCTTTTTTTGACTGAGACCCAGATATCCTCTCCAGCCGACACCTCCTACCTCCAGTACCCTGGGTATACCTTGGAACATTCCTTTGTACCGCGGGCTGGGGTATGTGTGTACGTTAAAGAGGGTATCAGTTTCCGTCGCCTCAGCAACTTTGAAGGTAGGGACCTTTCCATCTTATGGTTGCGTGGAGACGTCGATGACCATCCCCGCGTCTACGCCTGCCTCTACAGGTCCCATAGCGGAAATGCCGAAATTGACCGACTCTATGATCACGTCCAGGTGGCTACAGACTCCGTGCTTCAGCAGATCCCATGATCTGAAATTGTGATCATTGGTGATTTCAATGCCCACCACTCCGGAACGCTTGGATCGCCCACTACCGATCATGCAGGCAGATCTGCTCACGACTTCGCCTTGGCCTATGGTCTGACACAACTGGTCACCTCGCCTACGCGAATCCTAGATGTCAAAGACCATACACCTTCACTGTTGGACCTTCTGCTGACTTCACATCCGGATAATTACAAAGTGTCCATAGATGCCCCTCTTGGCTCCTCGGACCATTGTCTAATCCGGAGTATGGTGCAACCCACTTACTCACCGCGGCCGCAATTTGCTGGCTGTCGTCGTGTGTGGCACTATAAGTCAGCAGACTGGGATGGGATGCGCACTTTCTTTTCATCCTACCCTTGGGGCCAGGTTTGCTTCTCGCAGAATGATCCCAACGTCGCTGCCGATTCTGTCGCCGATATTGTCCTTCAGGGTATGGAACTTTTTGTTCCTTCCTCTGTGGTTCCCATTGGTGGCAAATCCCAGCCTTGGTTTGGTCACAAATGTAAACTGGCATCTCGCCAAAAACAGATGTGTTATCAGGCCTGGGCAAACGCAGCGGCGGTCAGGGATAACAACACTAGCGATCTCAAAAAGAAGTATAACTTGGCCTCCAGGTCCTGCAAAAGAGTAATTGCCAGAGCGAAGTCGGAGCACATTAGCAGCATTGGCGAGAGATTAATAAAACTTCCCTCTGGAACCCGCGCGTTTTAGTCTCTTGCTAAGGCTGTTGAAGGAATTTTTTGTAAGCCATCCCTTCCACCCCTGCACAATGGCAACGAATCGATAGCCCATACTGCAAAAGAGAAAGCGGATCTTTTATGCTCACTCTTTGCGTCTAACTCGACTCTAAATGACAGGGGATACATACCGCCGACCATCCCGCGGTGTGAGAGCTCTATGCCGGAGATCCGGTTCACACAAAGCTTAGTGCGTAAAGCACTCTTTTCCCTTGTCATCCGACTTGTGGATCCTGTGGAACCAGTGGGCCTGATGGAATCTCACCAATTGTGCTGAAGACGTGTGCTCCTGAGTTGGCTCCGGTACTAACGCGTCTTTTCCGGCTCTCCTACTCTTTAGGTGTCGTTCCGAACTCATGGAAGACAGCTTTAGTGCACCCTATTCCTAAAAAAGGCGACCGCTCACTCCCTACTAATTATAGGCCTATAGCCATCACCTCCTTGTTCTCCAAGATAATGGAGTTCATTATAAATTGCCAGCTCCTGCGGTACCTAGAGGACCACCAGCTGATTAGTGACCACCAGTACGGTTTCCGTCAGAATCGCTCGGCTGGTGATCTACTAGTATACCTGACTCATCGTTAGGCAAAGGCGATCGAGACCAAGGGGGAAGCATTGGCGGTCGGTCTGGATATCGCGAAGGCCTTCGATCGGGTTTGGCACAAAGCGCTTCTTTCGAAGCTTCCTTCTTATGGGCTTCCTGAAAAACTGTGCGTTTGGATCACTAGCTTTCTTGCGGACAGGAGCATCAAGGTCGCAGTCGACGGTGCATGCTCGGACTCCAAATCCGTAAACGCTGGTGTTCCGCAAGGCTGTGTGCTATCGCCTACGCTGTTTCTTCTTCATATCAATGATATGCTTCAAATTGATGGCATTCATTGTTATGCAGACGACAGCACGGGTGATGCCCTATATACCGGCCGCGCCAACATTTCACGGGAAAACGTCATCGAGAGCCGGAACAAACTTGTGTCTGAAGTCGAAACTTCGTTAAACCAAGTAACGAATTGGGGCCGACTTAATCTAGTCCAATTTAACCCTACGAAGACACAAGTATGCGCGTTCACCGCAAAAAAAAACCATTTGTCGTATCGCCTCTCTTAGAGAACACTTCTCTAACTGCCTCAGCTAGTATTGGAATTCTTGGCGTTGACATATCGAGCGACGTGCGGTTTCGGGATCATTTAGAGGGCAAGGCCAAATTGGCCTCTAAGAAGCTTGGTGTGCTCAATAGATCGAGAATGTACTTCACACCGGCCCACCGACTGCAACTTTATAAGGCACAGGTTCGGCCTCACATGGAGTACTGCTCTCATCTTTGGGCGGGGGCACCCCAGTACCAGCTTCTCCCTTTAGATCGCATCCAGCGCCGAGGGGCTCGAATCGTCGACGACCAGGACCCTTCCGATCAGCTTGATCCTTTGGCTTTGCATAGGGATGTAGCTTCGCTCTGCATCTTCTATCGCATTTATCACGGAGAGTGTTCTGAGGAATTGTTCGGATTAATTCCAGCTACTGCATTTCGCCATCGTACATCGCGACAAAAATTTCGTCCCCATCATCTTGATGCGTGGCTATCCACAACCGTGCGTTTTTGTCGAAATTTTTTACCACGTACGACAAAACTGTGGAATATATTGTAGAAAAGCAGTGTTTCCGGACCTTCAAAAAAAGAGTGTACTCATTCCTTAAAGGCCGGCATCGCATTTGTGATACTCCTGGTGTTGCAAGTGTCCATGGGCGATGCGATCACTTACCATCAGGTAAGCCGTCTGCTCGTATGCCACCTATAACATAAAAAAAACCCTATGAACTTAGTATGAACTCAGTATGAAGTGAATTAATATTACAACTAATTCATTTTATTATATAAAGAATAACTATTAGGAAAATCTTGGTAAGGTAGGAATCATGAATAAAATAAAAACAATAGTTTTGCTTCTTATTATTTATTGACTATTTTTCACATAATTGTATCATATTGTATTTATTTGTTTAACACATGTATATTGTGTAAATATGCAGCGTGAATGTATATCAGGTGCTCTTGAATAATTTGGCAGTATGATCCTTTCAGGATGTTGTGGCACAGGTACACTAGCAGTTGGTAATAAGGTCTCTGCTCTTTGGTTCCATCGATGGCATATTAGATAGCCGAAATAGTAATAGTTAAATTAAATGAAAAACAATCGCAAATAAACACACACAACAGGTAAACCGAACGAGAATTTTCCGTATACTAAAAGTACTCTTTGACGAGAATGCACGAATGCCACAGATTCTGAATGCAAACTGCCTGCACCACAACCACAGAGTATCGAATTTATGCGGGCCCTTCACTTGACAACAGTTTGTCCTTGTCATGCTTAATAAGGAATGAAAAGGACAGACTGATGTCATGTTTTAAATAGCAAAAACGAATAGCCAAGTGAAGTGCCGGCATTAGGAAGAAAGTGTTTTTTGTTTGCAGCGCTGCGCTGTCATAGATTATACACATAAAATGGTATTTATTGTCTCAGATTATTTATTAACTTTTTAATTTAGCTTACTTAACTGGAAGTGTCCGTCACAATCTAAATACTGATAATTATCGCAAAAAATATACTAAGAATTATCATAAATGCCAAATTGATGTTGGTTCTTAGGCCAATTTTAACATTGTCCTTTCCCCACTTTTAGGAAAATTTTCCCGTAGAAAAGGTAGCCACAGAGTTGTATTTTTTGTTTTGAATTTTCATCACACTAAATAAAATTAATTTAGAAAAATTATCACGCTTCGTCAGTACTTACGCATGGTAGGTGATTCCTTGTAGCTTTTTAAGTTTACTCGTGAGGTTTTTACATATTTCATCACACGAGACAGCATATTTTAAAACCTTCACGTTTCATGACCGTAACGCTACGGGCGTTACAGTACCCACCAGGCAAGCTCCTTGCAAATTGGTGGGTGCAGATGCAACCGGGACCAACATATTTTTTAAGCCATTCTACTTCCTAAGAAATGATGTCTTTTCTGTTTCAAGTTGGTTTTTGCTACAGTTATACGGTTATTATAAACGAAATTTAATTCTGTTGTTTGACCTTATCTTTAAGGCTGATCAAATATGTAATTATTTAGAAAATTCAAGCAGACACAAAATAAAACGGCAAATTTTATTAAAAATCATCATAATGTATTTGTTTATATGACCTATATGAATACAATCATAATGGAAGCAATTAATGGGACTTTTTGTAGCGTCAACTTATTGACTAATTTCTTAGTACTAAGAAATTACCTCTTACAACTCTAACATGCATTTATAAAAATTAATAGGCCCTCATTTATCATTAATTTCTGCTAAAAGTAAAAAAATGAAACCAAAAAATAAGTATCAGAAATAGGTTTATTTTTTCTGTCAACATACCAAAGAATAATGATTAATGAGTTTGAAAAAAAAAAGATTTCATTAAAATAATATTTATAAAATAGTTCAGTCTCACATCAACAGTTACATTCCGTTCTTTTATTATTTTATAGATATTAACCTGACTGTTGATGTTGCCATGCACAAAAAACACATTCAAAATAGCACAAAATATCGTTGTAAAAATCATGGCATAACTTTACGAAATAATACTCATCTCGAGTAAGTAAAACACCAGATCATGACCAAGATCGAAAATAATGTTACCCGTGATCATAATCTTACAACAAAACGATTCAACTTCAAAACAATATCTTGTCAAAGTCTACATACATCTCTTAATGTAACAACAATATAACGCTATAAAATAGATTTCATTTCTTTATAGTTTTTTAACAGTTTGAATTCTTAAACCTAAATGACATACTACAATCTTAGACAAACAATTAACCATTTTGAGGTTATCTTATTTTTTGAAAATATGTAATCTTCAATACAGTGACAACATTTTATCAACAAAGTTATTACGTAGAGTAGAACAGATCTTTAAAAAATCTGGTTTGATAAACACTGACACAATAACATTCTCCTTAACATTAATATGAACATCACAACGAATAAATATGCTCTCTTTGTATATTACCTACTACACAATACATGACTCGCACAACACTTTTAACACTGGTGAAAACATTGTTATCGTAACATTAAGTATATTCAATAACAGACTGTAACAAATGCACTTTGTTTTCAACTCCACAACTATGATTTGAAAATCAATCAAAATATTCATTATATAAGTACTAATAATAATTGTGGATATGGCAACCCCGAGCGAAACATAACCTCTAATTTTCGCACGCAAATCGTTCGCACATGAATGTCAGACTATCCAACATGTTCATAATATAAATCACGAACAACTCATCACTGAGTACTTACTTAATCACAAAATTGGTCTGATTAAACGTAATAAACAGCGTACATATCTGAGAAAACTATATATTGGTGTTATAATTTTGGCCAGAGCCATTTTTCTTTATTTATACAAATAACTGCAGCTGATAATTACTTAGCATATCAAATAAATTCATTAATAATGTATATAAAAGTGTTTTACGGAAACTCCTAAGATTATAGATACGTATTTGAGTTGCTAATATAGATAAGCCCGCATTGGCCTGTGCCTAGAACTAAGTTCATAGGCTAGTAATTTATAACAACTGACAATATTATGTCATTACGTGTTAAAACTCCACGGGTGGGGTTACCATAAATCCCGGTTTTTCCGAACTTCGACCATTTTCTTAAGCTTAAAGGAGAGCTATAATAAAAAGTTTAATTAACTTTTCACTTTACTTTTGAGGTGTGTTTTATCTCTCTCCGTCTCTCTCTCTCGTGTATCAAGATACCACAAATTGACAAATATATCAATAGATTTTGAATCTTATATCAAGCATCATGTCACTTGATAACTTAAACAGCGTTTATCTGTATCTTTATCTAGCCTACCGTGATATTTGAATTTTTGACCGAAGTTTTCAAGTTATTTTAATATGGTAACCCTTTCCGCGGGGAGATTAGTTTACGGCATTGGCTCCTCGTCAGTTCCCTCCTCAGAGTCGTAAACAGGAGCGCCGTTCTTCATTTGTATCACTGATTTTTTCCTGTGTCTATGCTCCTTCAGATCTTTCTCGATATTCCTGTTAAAAATAAAAAATAAAATACATCGTCTGCTTCGCTATATTGTTTCTGGACCAACAATAGGCTTTTTGACGAGTTTTTGAAAACGTTTATGCGTTATGTGTATACTGAATTGAAAAAACGAAAAAAAAAAGTTGTTTCTCTAGCAAATATGGCGTGTTTACAGGTTGGTGACGTCACATCTCTCTCATTAAAACATCAAACAGCACAAAGTAAGGCACTTTGACAGCATGTTTACAAGCAGGTGACGAATTTTTAGGCTCCTAAGCGTTTTCGTACACGCGACAATAGTTTTTTTTTTGTCAGAATAGTGAAATCGTTCCTAATTTAAACTAAGTACTTACATAAACAAACTGACTTTAAATATACGAATAACAAGATAATTAAAGAAAATCTCTGTACTAAACAACTACAGTGGAAAATAATGATATTAAATTACCTGCCACTCAGAAGAGGATGCATAGCGTTCTTGAGACTAGAAAACAAGTACGGGTACATTCGTTCCTGGGACTCGAGTAGCTCGCGGGCGTGGTCCAGCGGATCACACGTTTGTAAAGGTCTTTTGTGTATCGGATCTGATACGGAGCGCTCAATGTGCGGTGTTTCTTTACTGTAAACAAAATTATGTGTTGAAAATTTATGAAACAATGGACTTAACTAAAAGTTAGATATTTTTGAGATTGTTAGGATAATCATTAACGACTGAAGATGCAGCCGAGACCAACGCCTTTACGTGTATTCCAGAGCACGGACTTTTGATTAGTTAAGTACACATACAATGAACAGCCATAGCGAAAGCGGCTACCAACAACAACTACCTACAACGGCTAACTAGAGCTGAGGTCCGAGTTTCAAAGACGCGCTCTAGTTGAGCCGACCCCCTCAGGTTCGAGTGGTCTAGAGGCTCCAGACGGAGAGGAGACTCCTCCCGTGGGGAGATGCCATCCGCCTGGAATACTTCTAGAGGCACTCGCTAATTCTCAGTTTGAGGTTCCCTTAGGATCTGGCCGTTCCCAAACTCGATAACACTGTAAAGGTCATCTGCGACCAACAGCATACACACACAAAAAAAAAACGCGACTATCTTGACAGTAGAGCAGGCTGGCGGTGATAGATCACTCGCTTGGAAGTCCGAAGTCTAGCAAGAAAGAGGCTTCAGCAAGTTTAGAGGTTAGATAAACGTTCTTAGATTCGAAGATCATATTCATTGTGACGATTCAGAAACTTTGACGAGGCGATATGAATATTTTCTCACTAGTTGTTCATGCTTGGGGTATACGCGCTCGAATGATAAAAAACGGATGGCGACTGAAATGCCATCACTCACCCACAACAGATTATTGACGACAAGTAGTGTATTTGCCATAATAGTACGGGAGCCCCAGCGGGGGTTCATGGGTTTACTCGAGCGCGGCAGAATAACATAAAGTGGGGGAGCCACCTTGCACCTTGTGAAGTACTCCCACCATACCTAAGCCCTCTTCGTAGAGCCAAACGTCTAGCGCCGCAAAAAATATTTCAACAAACGGCCATGTCTTTTAATCCTGTCCAAGTCCTCAGTCTATTTTGTACGCGCTCGAGTCTCAAAATCCCCGCTGGGACTCCTCCACTATATTCTTAACTGCTTGCTCACTGACAGCAAAACCTACTATCTAGTGGACGTCTTATAATGCGTAAGTCGTATTCACTGCAGGGAGATGATATATATTTATTTATTCTTACTGACATTTCACGACAACTCTCGTCGGCGTGGCTAACAGGCGGCGCGGGGTCGTTCGCTCGAAAGTCTGGCAACATCTGCACGCGGCCGAACTCACGCAGCGCGTGCTCGCGGACGTAGATGAACGGCCTTATGATGCGGAGATCGTATTCCCTGTAGAAAGAAGGGGAGAAAGAAACATGAGATTTATGAAAAATCAATTAAGAGTTAATCAATAAATCCATTAAAACATAGATATCTTAATTTAGGTATATAATGTCTGTTTGTAGAGTCTGTCACGATTCTCTAAACCTAACCTTTAACAGTGCATCCTTATCATTCTCTATACAAAATGAGAAATATGTTGGCCAAAGTACACGGTCGAGGGAGTGCGCCACCGCGGCGACTCCGTACCGCGCGCGGCCATTATAACACTATGTATGTAGACACGAGGGACACACTCACGGCACGCGGTAGTGCGCCTTCACCGCCCGCAGCGTGCCGGCGTGCAGCGCGGCCGCCAGGAAGGCGGCAGCGGCGCGGTCGAGGGAGTGCGCCACCGCGGCGACGTCGTACCCGTGCGCGGCCATTATAACACTATGTATGTAGACACGAGGGACACACTCACGGCACGCGGTAGTGCGCCTTCACCGCCCGCAGCGCGCCGGCGTGCAGCGCGGCCGCCAGGAAGGCGGCGGCGGCGCGGTCGAGGGAGTGCGCCACCGCGGCGACGCCGTATCCGTGCGCGGCCATTATAACACTATGTATGTAGACACGAGGGACACACTCACGGCACACGGTAGTGCGCCTTCACCGCCCGCAGCGCGCCGGCGTGCGGCGCGGCCGCCAGGAAGGCGGCGCGGTCGAGGGAGTGCGCCACCGCAGCGACGCCGTACCCGTGCGCGGCCATTATAACACTATGTATGTAGACACGAGGGACACACTCACGGCACGCGGTAGTGCGCCTTCACCGCCCGCAGCGCGCCGGCGTGCGGCACGGCCGCCAGGAAGGCGGCGCGGTCGAGGGAGTGCGCCACCGCGGCGACGCCGTACCGCGCGCGGCCATTATAACATTATGTATGTAGACACGAGGGACACACTCACGGCACTCGGTAGTGCGCCTTCACCGCCCGCAGCGCGCCGGCGTGCAGCGCGGCCGCCAGGAAGGCGGCGGCGGCGCGGTCGAGGGAGTGCGCCACCGCGGCGACGCCGTATCCGTGCGCGGCCGCGGCGCCGTACACTCGTCGTCGGACCGCGTGCGCCGCCCAGCGGTGGGACTCGCGGGCGGCAGCGTGCGGGGAATCAGCGTGGCCTGATACAAAATTAACCAGGTAAATATCAATGGGTTAGACTCGCGGCAAAACTAAAATGGGAATGACACCTTTAATGCTAATAAATAATGAGAAAGACTAAAGGGGATCGGTAATACCACATTTCGTTTCTCATCTCTCATGATCTGTAAATATTTTAAAGATAGAAACCTGAATTGAAGAACTTTAAAATACTGACATAATTAAACAATGATCTCCACTTCATTACTAGACATTCCTCAAGCGCTTCCCTAAAATTTGTCTGACTTTGACTGACCAAAAGTTTTTCGATTGTCTCAATAAATCACCTATTCAACAATATTATAAAGTTCTAATACGCTAAGGAATACGTAAGCTTACTTTGCGAGTCATCGTCGTCCAGCTTGTCTTGGTAGATGAACTTGACGCCCAGCATCCTGCAGTACGCCATCAAGTATCTTGGATCCATGTCTGACTTGTCCTCGTGTACGTAAAGCGCTCCTGAAACGGGAAAACGATCAAAATAGAGTTTTTGATAAGTTTAAGAAAACGATCTCATGTCATTAACTATTGTTTATGGAGTCCATAAAAAGTGGATATTATTAATTCTGTTCTGTAATTCAGCAAAAAAACTAAATTAAAATTAAAATTTTCAAGTTGCCGCGAAAACGTTTCACTTGTCATTAAAACGTCAAACGTACAATGTAATGTCACTTTAGCCGGAAGTTTGATGCGTGTGACGTAATTTTAGTCTTGGCCAATCCCAGGCATTTCGATCACGTGAACACGAAGCAAAAAATCATTTCTATAAAAAAACATGAATAATTCGTAATAAGAGTGTCGATTTCAATATTGTTCTTTGTGAACAATTAGGTTTGCAGTTAATTTCCATTTTTAACTATTTAGTGTATCGTCAATTAGATCAGCCCCCTTAGCAGAAACACTGCGATATGATATATAGCTCGTTTTTTCACGCTTAATTGTCAAATATTTGCTATAAGAAACTTGATATAATGTAAATTGTGGTGCTCATGCTTCGGAGACAAGTGTCTTTACATACTATACTAAGCCTTGATTTTCTAAAATGTGACCATAGATCTACAGTAAACTAACGAACCGCAATACTACAGAATAGTTTCATTCTCTTTAATTCTTCTGTATGGTAATAATAATAATAATAATAATAAATCTGTATTGTGTACGGAACAAGGTAACATGAAAATAGAGATCTGAATGCTAATGAACAGTGCCATTTGATCCTACTTTTTAGGTGTATACACATTTATATTGTACGTATAGGAACCATTTGAATATTGCTACTGATATTCTAAATACTCATGGATACTTTAAAAACATTTTTGGCTAAGCCAATCCTTAAGTATTTTTTTTAATTTAAAATGTTTAGTTCTTTGAACTTCTCTGGTAATTTATTGTAAATTTGAATGCACTTAATCAAAGTGTTTTTAGTTGCTAAAGACAATTTTGTAGCAGTCCTATGGAGCTTAGTTTTTAAAACGGAGCGTAAATTTCAATTAGTTATTTGATGATTCTCTTCAAATAGATACTTATGCCGATGTACTAATGTACATATATCAAGAATATAGGTGGAGGAATCAATCTGATTCGATTTTCCATAGAAATGTAAAGTTCACTTATAATTTTAATGAAATGTAAAGTTCACTTAAAATAATAAGCATGAAACTGCTAGATGTTTGAATCTAAAGAAAATATAACTAGAAAAAAATCCACGCGGACCAGGCACCAGACGGGACTCGAACCCGCACCCTTCGCAATCCGGGCGAATGAACTGACCAATTATGCTACCGCAGCCCTGACGACCGCGTCGGAATTCCTCTAGCCATTCTTAAGCTGCAAGGCAGCACCATTTCTTCGCCATTAAAGTTCACATAATCATACCTAAATTCACAAACTTAGGTGTCAAAGTATAACAAAATACGGCAGAATGCAGAAACCACGACTATATTTTTTTTATTTACTAAGGAACAAACAGGCATACATAAAATACATATAAACAATTTCATGGTAACAAACTGACTAACAGACCTTCATAATATATGAACTAACTTATATTATAATGAACTTAATAGAAAAGGAATAACACCATAATTTTAAAAAAAATTCAGCACAACTTTTGAGTCAAATGCTATAGGTATAATGCAATAAACGAAGGGACAAACCACCAATCCGCAGCACCAATTACCAACACAGTTGCTGGTCTCTTACTCAACAGACCAATACTCCGACCCCTCGCTTACCGCATTACATGTTCGTCCACCAATTTTTTATACATATTCAATGATAGGAAAAACATATCAACACCTCCCAAAAAACCATTTAGTCCAGTCGGAATAGCCATAATTTGGACCGACTTCTATTCTAAGACACCAGCGCTTAGCCAATTTTTTCCTAGGTAGTATAGACCCCCACGAATATGCCCTCCATTTGTCCCCGCTAGAACCCGTGTTTTGTAGCCAGGAAAATTGTTTAAACAAAGAAAAACCGTTTTTTTTTGAGTTTTTTTGCTTGTAAACGGGGATTTTGAAATTTTTTTTGAATCAAAGTTGTTCATTAGCTTGCCCTCTACAAAATCAGTTCTATGAAAAAATAACGTGAGATTGTTAGTTTAGCAGTAAATTGCAATTATGTCGGTTTTACGTTTGCAACAATTCAACATGTTATAATAAACATTTTGATTTCTAAAATAGTTTATCATGTGGGTAACGCCACTCCCAAGAGAGTCATGTAAAATTTATCGACCTGTGTCGCAAACTTTAGCAACAATTCTCAATCTCCGAAAAAAAAGTACTTGCCTGCCCTATATATATATAATATATATATATATATATATATAATATATATATAATACTAATATACCCTGAGAATTCCGATTATGAACCGGAAGAAAAAAGGACGAAATTAATTTAATTAGAAATATAGAATACAACGCAGTCTTGTAATCGAATTTTAGTTAATAGTTTTGTAAATTATTTCTGTACATAAATAAACTGAATTTTTTAAATTTTCAATCGTATATTCGAGTTGAGGAGAGAAAAATACATTAGTTTAAAAAAAAAATATTCTACGTCAATTTTGAAAAAAAAATTTAAATCGTCCAAAAACGAACATTTTTACTAACGATTTTTTTCTACTCGATCGATTCCTCAAAATTCTTGGTGAATCGAATCACCTGAATTTTTTTCCCCGCTGTGCGCCTTCTGGGAAAGACGGGACAGGCAAGTACTTTTTTTTCGGAGATTGAGAATTGTTGCTAAGGTTTGCGACACAGGTCGATAAATTTTACATGACTCTCTTGGGAGTGGCGTTACCCACATGATAAACTACTTTAGAAATCAAAATGATTATTATAACATGTTGAATTGTTGCAAACGTAAAACCGACATAATTGCAATTTACTGCTAACTAACAATCTCACGTTATTTTTTCATAGAACTGATTTTGTAGAGGGCAAGCTAATGAACAACTTTGATTCAAAAAAAATTTCAAAATCCCCGTTTACAAGAAAAAAACTCAAAAAAACCGGTTTTTCTTTGTTTAAACAATTTTCCTGGCTACAAAACACGGGTTCTAGCGGGGACAAATGGAGGGCATATTCGTGGGGGTCTATACTATCTAGGAAAAAATTGGCTAAGCGCTGGTGTCTTAGAATAGGTCTCATGTTTATTCCGACTGGACTAATTGTAATACCTACAAGCCCGCCGCATGAAAGTATTTCCAACTTATTTAATATGAGAAGGTGAAGTATAAAATATTCAGTTAGAACGTGAGGAGGTTCGTGGTATTTTTAATTTAATTAGTTCTCACTACTCTAGTATAATAGTTCCAGGGTCCAGAATTCATGTTGAAGCACAGCACTTACCAATACTAAAGTGTATCCCCTTGGAGCGCGCGTAGAACTGGTATTGATGCATAGTATGAAGCAAAGCGATGGAGTCCCGGCTGCCCGACAGGCACACCACCACCTTGTCCCCGCGTCTCACCATGCCGAACTCATGGATAGCCTGCGAATTAAAGTTAAGTGTTTTATTTTATGTAAATGGTATGGAAAACAAGCATAAGGCCTAATGAGGTTACGCATTACGGCTGTCGCATAAAGAAATGTCCCGCCTTTCAAATGTGCGCGTTTTTATTGACAACGTTGAACCGAGTGTTGCCATTTTTTCAAGTTACAGTCAGCAGAATAATTATAATTCCGTGTTATCAATAGTTGAACCTGGACTAAAACTGATGCTGTCACTTTTGTTTGCTAAAAAGAAGACATATAAACCAAGACTAACTTTAGTTTTGGAAAAAGGTGGCCGGCCTCTGTTTCACGAGGGATCAAAAATTTTTTTTTATCAGTTTGCCCTGCCAATATCAAACCTTACAACTCAGACAAAGTATGAAGCTAAACACGGGGTTTCTCTTTTGGCTGTAAACATTTATTCGGATTTATTTTTTGGTGATAGACATTTTTATTTAACACAACCATATCGTGATTTGGATATAATCACAGTGCCATCTGTTGTATATGTAAGTTAACGTTATACATGGAAATTATGTGTTACCTCGACAGTGGCCTTCCAGACGGCCTTGGGCGGGCAGTGCCACTTGCCCTCGTCGTCGCACGTGAAGTCGGTGAGCGAGCTGTCACTGCATGCGCTGCTATCGTCCTCCTCCCATTCGCACTGCTCCTTCAGCAGGGGGCACTCGGACTCACTGTTCAAATACAATACAATCATTATTATCACCAGCCTTTTGATGTTCCCTCTGGCCTGGGAAGTTTAGAACGTTCAGATGCGTGTCATCGTGGACGAATAAATACGTGACTTCCGAGCTCACTAGATTTTACGTACTGCATTACACCTTCTGTCGTTCAAAGTCAGGACGCAATCTGAGTATACAATAAAAACTTGAGCAGCTTTGCGTCAAATAGTGTCATCATAAATAAAACCCTGATACATAATATGGAAGTGGCATACTTTCTCTCATAGAAGGTCTCTTCGGCGCTGATCCGTTGGTCGGTGCCGTACCCGCTAGACCGGGAGCTCCGGTCCGATCCACTCGACGACGACGCATTCGACGATCTGCTGCATCGTTTCAGTTCAGCTGGCGCCCTGTAAGAGCAGCACGCTTAGTGTTACCACATAATACTTAATAGTGCAATGTAGTACGTAAGAATTACCTTACGACATCCTTATTTGACTACAAGGTTGCACCAAGAACTACTTAACCCAGAAAGTCTCACAGCTTCAAATATAATTGACGTTTCTTTCTATTTTTAGAAAAGCTAATCATAACTATTGGCTATATTTCATTAGTGGATAAACTTAAAAGAAGGAAAGTTTTCCCCAATAGTACATCGAAGATAACACAAGAAATATACCGTACTGAGAACCTCATTATTAAAATTGATCACCGGTAGCTGTTACGATGAAAAATTACCAAGGCAGCGAAAGATGTCTCGCAAAGATTTTGAGTTATTGCCAACTAGTCTCCACCTACAGTATATTATTAACATTAAATTTTAAACACTGACAGAAATTTCTGCCAAGTTTTGGATTCAGCAGAGTTTATTCACCTATAGATGTTCAAGTCTGTATTATCTATAGGTATTACCGAATAACAGTAACTTTCGTTTCGTCTTGGAAAAGTATCGTTATAAATAAATAGAATTCTGGTTGCACACAAGTCACGTGTTACACACACGTGTCACAAGCATACAGTGTCTACAATTAACAAGGAAATGTGAAATAAAAGTAACAGGATCCTCAATAATGAATAACAATCGTTAATCATGTATTATTATCATAATATTTTTATTTAAAGAAAATTTAAACTAGATATTTTTCAACTTACGTATTTCGTCTATCCCCTTCGTCGGGTATTCGGAAAACGACCTTTCCTGAGTCGCTTCTTTCCTCGCCTCGTTTAGTTGGTCTAGTGTGATCTATAGAACACACCGGAACTCCCTCGATTATATCAGGCACTTCATTTTTCTCATATTTTTGACAAATCCTAAGTCGCCCTTGAAGTGTTTTAGCCTTATTTGTGGTAGGATCTGAGGAAGTGCGATATTTACCTAAAATGCATTTTTAATATTGTAAGAAAACCTTTCAATAGATTTAACTTCATCTAAAGACGTTTACTACCATTTGAGAAATGTTTATTTTAAAACTTACCTAAGTCTAAATACGAGTCAGTTTCTGTAAAGGTCATATTTATACCGCTATCTTGGGAACTAATTGAAGGGTTTTGGCACCATGATTTCTTTATACAGCAATTTCTATAATTACCGACATTGCAGCTTGTTTCTTCATCTGATAGCTTATTAGTACTTAATGATTTCGGCAAATTGGGAGAGTTTTGTGAAGTAGTGACTACTTGTATAATAGTGTCTGGGGTAGAAGTTTCACTGGAATTAAATGAAATACTGTTTGGACCAGACGCTTCATGTGATGGAGTGCATTGAGCTGATTTTGGCGATTGACTGGTCGGCGAACATTTTGAAAACAACTCGTCGTCATTTAAGTATTCAGTCGGAAGTATTGGACTAGTGGGACATTTTTTCAGACACTGCGAAGCTCTCTTTAAATCTAATCCTAAATCCGGACCGGACCCTAATCTTCTTCTTCCATTTTGGGAAGGTGAACTCCTTCTTGAGTTGTTTCCGGTGTAATCTGGAGATATCATTTCATCGACTTCATTTACCATCTCACGGATTTCATGTTTCACTTCCGAAGCCATTTCCTTTGACATACCCATTAAGTATTCGGCTACATCTATAACTGAGACAGAGTTTCTATCGTTTTGACTAGATGTTGATGTTATACTCGCATTTGACTGTTCAAGCATATCAGAATTTTCCAAAATATCGTCTACTCTTGAGATCACTTCACGTATTTCAGATTTTATCTCAGTCGCTATTTCTTTTGTCATTTCTTTGACATAAGCATGAATATCTTCGGATGTTTGGGATGTTAATGATGTCGTAGGGGACGTCCGCCCTACTTGACTACAGTCTGATACTGATGTGCTACTTTGAGCGTTAAAAAGGAATGCCTTTTCAGGTGACAACATTGGATCATCTAATGATTGAAGATCAGTTTGACTTCCACAGTGGCAAAAACTGCTTGCTTTGTCAGTATCGTTATTAGGACTAGCCTCCTTCAATCCCAAATTAATCTTTGTTTGTGAGCTAAATTGTACGGGAGGACTGTCTGAACCTAAGCTATAGCACCTAGATCTTATTAGTAGTGGCCTCGCACACTGAGGCATAATACGCAGTGGTGATACTTGTTCACCCACGGCGAATTGCACTGGTTGCTTTTCCACGATATCTTCTTTGTGCATTTCTTTGAGACTTGACTCTCTAGAGTAAAATTTTTGTTTCTGTTTAAACCTAAATATTTGACAGTCATCGATAGCAGACAAACTGAAATGTCTCGGTGACGAGCCTAATATAGGCGAAGAAGTTATGGAAGACCTCGAAATATACAGACTTTTACGCGCACCGGTGAAACCAGACGGATCAAATGGTACAATATGTTTCACGTTTGCTGATCGCCCCAACAATAGGTCGTGCGCTTCCTTCGGCAGCATAAACCATCTCAGGTAGTCTATGCGTGGATTGAACGACATTTCCGGTTCAGCTGATGTACACTTCATAGCCAGCTTTCTAGCTCTACTGAATAGGTTCCTGGCAGTTTGTAAGCATTCAGTGTATGTTTGAGGAAATATGCCTGGACCTGAAAATAAAAAAAATAAAATCATATACAATTTCATGTTATAACATTACTAACTACAATAGGGGTCTGCGACGGGGCAAAGTAAATGAAATTCTATTTAGTCCGTCAGTTAGATGATCAAAAAATAACGGACATGTATTTTTTCTTTGGTCAATCAACCAGAAAATGACAAAGATAAAGCGCGTCAAAGTTTGGAAGTGCAGGATCGTGACGTCATTTTTTTGTAAAAATTTTACCAAAGCGTGACGTCATGAGACTTTTCAAATCAATATATATCTGCAATGTTTTGATTATGTGAAAAAAGAAAAAATACGTGTCCAATACTTTTATATAATCTACCTGATAAACGAAGAAAAAAAGTTAGTCGTCATCCCTATTAGTTCTCTTCGATTATCTTACCAGAAACTCTTCTTTCATGTGAAGAAACTTTTCCATCGCGAAATTTCAGCGAATACAGAGATTTTCTGTCCCTTAATATGGAGCAAGTATGGTGTCGCCATTGTCCAGTCTGTGGGCTCACTATGTACTGGGGCAATATTTTCCAACCCTCTGTGGCGACCATTTTCAGGGCTTCTAGAACGAAGGCCAGCTCACTCTCTGACATGAAATATGGTAGAGACACTCTGCAGAACCCGGGCCTCAAGTGCTCATTGTGTATGGGCACTTCCGGCGCTTTAACATCGCTCATTTTACGAACTCTTGCAATTTCTCTTTGTCTGGAAAAGAAATGAAATGGTATTTTTATGAAACTATTGTGATTTTTCTTACCAGATATTTAAATAATATTTAAAATAATGCGATAAACAAAATTAAAAATGTCGTTGACATCTTATCTACAACTTTAATCTCTTATAAAGCCTTGATAAGATCAGACTTTGTATTTACGATAATAATGAAATTCTATAAATAATGAATTATATTACAATACATTAAAATAACACAAACTTAAAAACCATATAGTTTAACCTACTACCTACTTTAATCTTATAATACTACTAAATTACAATTGTATGATATAATCAAAGTATCCAATCTCAATGTTAGATCTCAGTTTTAAATATACTTATAATTAAAATAACTAACTTTTTCATCTATTTCATGATCTAAATATTCAGAACCAAACCAAAATTAAAAAGGTTTCAAAGAGTATCAAAGATCAGGATCTAAATAAAAAATAAACTTACGCTTCCACATTCAGTAGTTTCTCGTACTCCCTCAGTAGTTGGTCATCTATCCCGAGGATATCGGAGCCATAGTTCAGGTTGCTGCTGAGACCTCCCCTCGCTTGGATTCCAAAGACATCGTTCAGGACCGCACACACGAAGTTGTGGTGAAGGAACGTGCCCCTCGGATGTTTCACCATCAACGAGAAGATGGGTAACCTGCGCACTGTCGGCGATTCATTTCCCAGCAGAATTAATTCCGGAATATTCTTGATGTGCGACAGAACTTGTCTAAAACAATACAAGAATATTTTCGTCTACATATCCAAACATATCAATAATTTCACAAAGAGATTAATTATAGACTGCGAATTATATAAGTTTCTTTCATGACAAATAGGTACAGTAAGGTAAAAATTGCTTAGAATAATAGCTCTTGCTTTTCTTATGTAGTTTTTAGTTTCGTAACTAGCAGATCTAAAATCCTAAACCTATAAGCTCATAGAACTCCTGAAAACTTACTTTTTAATAGAAATACATCACCATCACCATGACAGGGCAATAGTTAATAGTGTTATTTCACTCTACCGTATTCAATTCACTTCTTCACTGTAAGCTTAGAGAGGTTGGTATAATTTGAACGGAATATCCGCAACGACGTCTTTTAAATTAACATAATAGTCATCATTATTATAGTCATGATCAAATCTCAGTTGAAATTTATAATTATAGTTACTTAGAGTCTGGTGGTTGTTGACATGGTAAAAACAGATTTTTTTAAATAAAGGCAAAATTGCTTTGAATAAAGACATATTCATTGAATCTAAGAAAATGATCCTCTTCCTATAGACGGTAGACAATATTTTCTTCGTAATAGTATAAAATATTCTTAAAAATATAATTATACTTGTAACAAGAATAATACATTCGATCCAAGACTTCATGTTACTTTAATCAAGAGACGATTAAGAAAAAAATAGAGCGATAAAGAGCAGTATATTTGTTCTATAAATATTGCATAAGACAAAGAAAATATATTTCGATAATAACGAATATTGTGAGAATTTGATTTTTCTCAATTAAAGAAATCCTTTTTTACCGTGTACCATGACCCAATTGCTTCAGATAATCAACGAGATCCTGTCATAATACCTATATCCATTTGAATGGGTACGACTTTAAAAAACATAGAGCATTTAAATTTTATTATGCCATTTGTAGTAATTTAAAAACTCGACTCTAACATTGAACTACCCAGATATAGACATGTAATTTTGTGCGCTGCATAATAATCATCATAACGTTCTGTCCATTACTAGCTTAAGGAAGTAAGACCGGAAGTTGCGATTGGACGATACGAGACAGTTGTTTTGCTCGAACCTTGGCAACTTAGTACCCTTGAACTTGCAAAACGCATAAGATACTTATCGTGCTACGTAATCACTCGTGTTGGCATTACACAACGCGGTTGTATTAAACATAAATATTTAGGTACAGCAGCGTGTGGCCGCGAATGCGCCTGTGTGTTTAAATTGTTTTTCGACACAAACTTCAACCCATTTTTCGTCTAATTAAAAGATGGCTTCTGGGATTAACTATTATGTCCTTTCCCGGGACTAAAACTATCTCTATACCAATGTTATTATGTTAATCATGTTCGGTTCCGCGATTTAAGTGTGGAGAGATAACAGACAGGCGCGGTCGCAGCCTGAAATTTTGGAGGGGGTCACTCATTACACTAATAAAAGAAACCGGCCAACCGGTATAAGGTTCGAGATCATGGAGACGAATGTATATCAAAACGAGGTGTACATGTCCTGCATAAATACCGCCGTTAACTTTAAGTAAAACAACACTGTACGGTTACGTGAAGTTTTGATTTAATCACATACTTTTGTCAAATTTCTTAAAATTTTAATCTACCTAGTAATTAATATTGGTGTTAGTATCAGCATTGTTGATTTTGAGCTTCCTATGTTGTTACAGCTTAGTTGAAGAATGCCGTGAGTCACGTGCTATACTGCATTTATTTTATTTGTGCGCATGGTGAAAAACCCGTGAAGTGCTTCTCGCGCGTTTCGGGGTCAGCCAGCGTACAACCAGAGCTCGAGTGGAAGTTGTCGCGAAGGATTCGGTCCAGGGGAGGCATCCGTGGAACCGATGCCGGGAGGACTGCATCGACCCGTCGGCCAGGGAGACCCGTAGAAACGGCTGTCCCGCTGGCCGCCCGTGGCACAGTACAGGGGCCCAAGCGTTCCTAACCAGTTCGCGAGGCTGCCCCATCATGTCACGCATAATCTCGGGGTGGACCGTCGTGCCGGTTGGTGACCGGGGCGTGGGGTCCCGGCGGCCACTCCCGGGGGGGTGCGGGGGCCCTTCCGTCCGGCGGGTCGGCGCATCTCCACTGCAGGCAGTCAATCGGGAAGACAAACCCCCCTTATTTGCCCGAACTCTTCGCGACGGCGTCCGCTCGTTTTCGCGTCTCTTTTTTTTTCACTTCCACCATGGCAGCCTCAATAACAAAGTTTGGACGTACAGCGGTGCACACCCCCACGCCTTCAACGCTGTTTGAGGTCGAGTTCTGCAACATACGCGGACTCCACTCTAACCTCAACGCTGTCCACCACCATCTCGAGACAGCACGGCCAGCATTGTTGTTCCTGACGGAGACACAAATACTTCCGCCTGCTGACACAGGCTACCTTAATTATCCCGGCTACGTGCTTGAAGAGTCCTTCAAAGCGAAAGCCGGTGTATGCCTGTATGTTCGGGCGGATGTTTGTTGTCGCCGTCTCCGCTGCTTGGAAGATCCCTCCTTCTCCATGCTGGGGGTACACGTCGACTCTGGCCCCCGGGCCAGAGTCTACGTGTGCCTCTACAGATCCCACACCGGCGATGTAGAGACAACTCGACTTTTTGAACACCTTAGTCGGGCAGCAGATGACGCGCAGGAGCGATTTCCCAATGCAGAATTGGTGTTTTTGGGGGACTTTAATGCTCACCACAATCTGTGGTTAAGTTCTTCCAAAACTGACCATGCAGGGATCTCTGCTCACGCATTCGCTCTCACGCATGACTTGAAGCAACTGGTTGATCAGCCCACCAGGATCCCAGATATTCCAAGTCAAGCGCCTTCTTTACTGGACCTTCTGCTCACGACCCATCCACAGGGCTATCAGGTTGTGGTAGGAGCCCCCCTGGGCTCTTCCGACCACTGCCTGATATCTGCCAAAGCACCACAGGCCAAGCCTCCGCGTCCAGCAGTGGTCAAGCGCCGTATCTGGCATTATGGGTCGGCAGATTGGGACGGTATGCGTGATTACTTTGCGTCCGTCCCTTGGAAGCAGCGCTGCTTCAGTGACAGGGACCTATCGGGCAGTGCCGTTGCCATCACTGAGGAGATCATAATGGGTATGGAATACTATATTCCTCATTCTGATCTCATCAGTAAGGGCACACGTAACCTCTGGTTCAATCACGACTGTGCTGAAGCTGCTTCGCGTAAGCAAGCGGCATATCGTGCTTGGATCAGAGGCCGCGCTCTCAAGGATCCCGGGGTCGATTCACTCAAAGCAGCCTACAATTCTGCTTCCAAGGCCTGTAAGAAGGCTTACATCAGAGCGGATGCCCAGCGTGTTGCACGTGTTGGCCAGGAACTTATAACGCATCCTGCGGGCTCCCGTAGCTACTGGCGTTTGGCCAAGGCCGTGCAAAAAAACTTCTGCCAGCCCTCGCTGCCACCTCTGAGATGCCCAGACGGAACACTAGCTCATAAGCCGCAGGAGAAAGCCGATTTACTGGCAAAACTCTTTGCGGCTAACTCCCGAATCGATGATTGCAATGCACTGCCACCATCATTACCTCACTGTGGCACAACGATGCCTGATATTAAAATCAGGCAGCGTGAGGTTCGTGCCGAATTGCAATCACTCGACGTCCGGAAAGCTAGTGGACCTGATGGCATCCCAGCAGTAGTACTTAAAAAATGTGCAGCGGAGTTGTCTCCCGTGCTCACGCGCTTGTACCAATGCTCGTATTCTTTGGGGCGTGTGCCGGAGACTTGGAGGGATGCTAACGTGCAACCGGTGCCCAAAAAAGGGGATCGCTCAGACCCGGCAAACTATCGGCCAATAGCAGTCACCTCAGTTTTATGTAAAGTTCTAGAAAAGGTCCTTGCTCGATGCTTTGGATAGGTTACAGCGGCGCGCGATCCGCATCATAGGCGATGAGGAGGTGACTAAACACCTTGAGCCTCTTCAATTACGCCGTGACGTGGCGTCACTAAGCGCGTTCTATCGTTTGTACCACGGCGAGTGTTCTGAGGAGTTATTCTCTCTTATCCCACCTTCCCCTTTCCTTCAGAGGACCACGCGCGCTGGCCTACGTTGTCACCGTCTTACTGTGGCCACAATTCCAACGCGTACAAAGAAATTTGGTGACTCATTTCTTTGTCGTACTATCCGTAAATGGAATGCTCTGCCCGCTCACGTGTTCCCTCCCTCTTACAACCTGGGATCCTTTAAAAGAGGCGTGAAGAAGCAACATGCAGGCCGGCAGGGTGAGGATGGCTGGTGTGGCAGGTAGAACTGCTGTATCAGCTATCTTCGCGTCTGGACTTCACCTTCACTTAAAATCAGGTGGGGTGGAGTCATTTGTCGGACCTAACTATAAAAAAAAAAAAAAAAAAAAATTTGTTCTACGAAATTTGAATTTAAAAGTTCCTTTAAATTATTACTGTTAGTAATTTTCTATGTAAAAATTTGCTAATGATTATATGATTTTCATAGAAAACACTATTGGAGCAAATAAAATGTTTTTATTATTTTTCAAAACTAAAAATTGCTACAAACAACGTTGTTGGAGCACACGTCACATTGGCACAACATAGCGACATCACAACGACACCACTTTTTCCACTATTTGGGTTCAACTGTCTCAACAAGCAGCCCGTTCAGAAAAAGCATTACTGCCGCACAAATACTCGTATATCTCCAGGTTTTTATTGTTTAAATTGAGGTCATAGCTATCATAAAGAACTCCAGATAAGGGAACAAACACTTCGGGTATACGAAGAGAGATGCCACCACGCTCGCCTGGATGGCTGCCAAGAATACCAAGGGATGTGATAGCGAGATATTTTCGATTCGAACACGACTTCTTCTTCGGTAATGCTTGTAGGTATATCTTAAAGTTTAATATGCAATAGCTTATTGGTGGTAATGCTCTATGAAGGAATTTAAGAAGAAAAACTTAGATCATTGTCATTTTCGGTACATCACCTATGGTTTAAG